CGCATATAAAAGCTATCTTCAAGTTTAGTGCACCAAAAAACTTTTCAAAAGGACTATTACTTAATCTTCCCATAAGCAATCAATTTTCGGTAATATTGCACTAACTACAAACTGCCACAGAATGTCAAAATGCAGTCCTGGTACATGCAATTCTACCAAAAGCGGTTGTGGTTGTCACGTGATTTGTTGATTTGCATTTACAAAATAGCTTTAATATAACATACTCAACCCTGTGTATCAGAACACCAAGCTTTACAGACTTTACAGAATACGTATCTATTAAGCTGTTATCATTAATGTAGTTAGTTTCACAAGTACTTTGAGTTAGTAAAATTGTATATCCAATAGTTTGCTCATTAACCAAGCAAATAATATTTAATCGTTTCTTTTTAATTAAGTGCAAGTAGTGTTTTATTTGTGGCAGATGACACTTATATTTCATAAGTGCTATGTTCTGTTTGACTAAGCAAACAACACACTTTGATTGATGCAGGACATTTGTACGACACACTATTGGTAAGAAACCATTTCCTTCTTCCTTTTAGTATGAAATGCTGTAGGTATAAATACAGTATTGTAGTTGATGAATGACTGTAGGCACTACAAAGATGCCTGTGTTTGTGGATAGATGTTTCTCTTACACGTTTTTGCGCATAGTGGAAAGCCGTAACTATTGTAATTGCTACATATTGATGGTTACTGCAAAGATGGACGCGTTGGCAATGAACGACATTCTCGTGAATGCTTAGTGTGTAACTGTACTCACTGCAGCGATGGGAGTTTGTGATTGGGTGAAAGACTAGTGTATCTGAAACAGAGCTGTGGTTAATGTAATGATATCCAATGTCCGTGAATGATTATATCATCGTAACTATGGTTGATAAGTGGATGTATCACTGTAGTAGTGTCTGTGTTTATAAAATATTTGTATAGCTGTAGCAACATGGTTGTATTAATGTAGTGACAATATGCACTATAAGGATGCCTATGGTTGGTGGAAAGATGTACTTGTATTAGTGAGTCCTGGCCGACGTATATTCGGCCATATTTATCTACGTTGTGGTTTAAACAAGTGTATGAGCTACTGTGTAACTCAGATCAATCCTATACATTAGCGTACAAGGTGAAACGACGTAAACTTAGTGACAATACATGAGGTTAGAAGTACGAAACCGGTATATAATATGGGCAAGTACTGTTGATAACACTGTTAATCATCGCAACAGTTTCAAAGAATGAAACAAGTTGTTATATGAAATATCTAGCAAGCATTATTTTAACATTCCTTACTATATCCAAAGCCACTCGGTAATGCATCAAATTATATAATTTCTATAACTCTCAAGAGTTCGGATACTGTTCACATAACGTAAGGTACAGGACAAAATGTTACACCCAAGGTAACATATGTCACGTGTCATGTTAAGTAAAAGATCTGGATATATAAATATTAATACATGACAGGTATTGTATGTTTTCTTATTCCAAGAAATCTACAAAGAAGGTTACACGTCAAGATGTCTTTGATTCTTTTGTCAGTTGACTCGTACACTGGATAGGAAGTCATTATGTATATGAACTATAAACATGGCATGCTAATTATTCCAGTTGAGGAAATAATCTTTCCTTTTCCAACTAAATACAGCTGCTACCAATAAAATCAAACACAAGCAACATAAGTAGCGTATGTTATTTGATAATCTGTCTACTGGTGTGACATTGAAGTAGACATAACGACAAGAACATTGTTAATATCTGTGGTTAGTGTGTTACTCTAACTGTGGTTGGTTAGTGATTGCATTACAGTACCCATTTCTGTGGCTAGTGAGTGGTTGTATGACTGTAACAATATAGCTAGCTGGTTAGTAGTTGTATTGCTCTAATGATATCTGTGGTTAGTGAGGGGTTGTATTGCTGTAAAAATGTCTGTGGTTGTAGCACTGTGGCTGGTTAGAGGTTGCATTACTGTAATTATATCCGTTTCTGGTTAGTGGTTGCAGTACTGTATGAATGTTTGTGGTTAGTGAATGATTGTATCATTGAAACAATTAATGTGGGTGTTTAGTGGTTGTATTATTGCAAGTGTCCATAGTGAGTGAATGATTGTATCATTGTAACGATGGTTGTCATTGATAATTGGCTGGATCATTGTAACAAAACCTATTGTTAGCCGAAGCCTGTATTCAATGAAATAGTGTTCATGCAGGTGAGTGCTTGTACAAAGGTCTCTATTTATACTGTTGTAACAATCAATGTAGTCACTGTAACAGTCTCGTAGACAGTGAAAGACTGTAATCTGTAGTTTGTTCAATTATTTTATTACTAACAGAGTTTGTGATTGGTAAATGGTTGTAACAACCCATGTCTGAGCTTGTTTAATGGCTGTATATCACACTTATGTCTTTGCGTCATGAAAACCAGCAGTGACTGCAAATCTAATGTTTGTGAACTTTCAGTAAGTAACAGTAAAAAATAAACACCCTTTTGCATCTGAGTAATGGAATATTACAATATGTGTTTGCATTTGATAACATTATTTTGGAATATTTTCAGTCATTTATGTTCGAGTCTTGTCTAAATATGACTGTGACTGATTGGGCTTGTAATACTTCGCTGAAATTGGACGTAAACTACCCCAAGTGCTGGCAAAATCTAAAGAAAATGTTTAATCCTAAGCTGATGAGTTTAAAGTAAGTGTTTTTCTAACAAAGAAAATGATGTTGATTATGAATTGTTAAATCTATTATATGTTGCTATTTCTGAGTCTTTCAACCTTTTTTACATGTTGAGTTGTTAAGAAAAATCAAGTATCAATAACTGATGTTACATCAGTTGATAATGCACATATTAATGACCCAAATAAATTCAAAATGTTGTTATTATACATGTGTGGCTCTTCAAGTGTACTGATCCCCCTTAACGTAATCGGATAGGTCCACATAACTCAAATTGAGTTACCAAAAAATAAGATAATAATAAAACTTTGTACCAGTTTAAAAAATAAAAAGTTTTATCTTACTTGGAATTTCAAAAACAATGATTAGTTTCGATAAGTATCGGCAGAACTTAATCCCTGGAAATCATATTATAAATATATTGATTAAAAAAACTAGAGGAACATTAATCTAAAACCGAAATTAAAACATTAAAACCAAAAGCTAAACTTTCAGTTGAAACTGTGGCACACTGACTCTTGGTTACACACTCGTTTTGTAAGGGTTACTTTGTGTATTATTCCCTTTAATTCCCCTTTGTTATTTTAAATGTTATTATTTTCCTTCTTGATTCCAGGCCTAATATCAATGGCGAAGCATACACGTCTATCTACCGATCACCTATACATGCTGAGGATAATGATGTGGGAAATGCTGACACAGCTGTCCACAACTAAATGAATGAAATTATCAGAAGACTCATAAGACTGTAGCCTGAAATCTAATTATTCACTTAACACGACATATGTTTTAAGTTTGATTATAGTATTTGTAACCAAAGGCTTATCTAGAAAACAGTGGAAAGAAATCATTGAATTATTATAGGAGATAATATAGAACCATTTTTACATTAATTTGATCGATTTTTCACGAACAGGGAAATTATTCATATAATAAAACATGAAGATTATTATGAGATTGGTCTTTATATCTATTTTTGTTTCATGTTGGAAACTTCTGAAACTTTTTGAGAAATTTAATAATAATAAAGAACTAACTTTGTAAAAGACAATTATTTTCTATTCCCAGAACCAGAATTTAAAATTCTGAAATAAGTTGAATCGTTACTTTTACGTCCAGTTCTGTAAAGCAGTTAGTCTGCAAGAGATTTATAATTGATTAAATACTCAGTAATACTGTAAAATTTAAAGAGGTAATTATTTTAAACTAATTGTACTGTTACGCCTTCAGTCGTTAGTTAATTGTCCGTAAATTCTATCCGACGAAACTTTAGCGACACAAGTCCTTTCTGAAATAAAACTGGTTTATTCTTTCCGAATATAACTTTACGATACACTTAATTTCAACAGTCGCTCTGTAACAAACGCTATGTTGCGTCATCGAGTCACATGACTACTGTGACGCAACGTTTCTAGAACTATCATGTACTTTG